GGCCTCGGTGGCCGGTCTCAACGGAGCCTAGCCATCCGCTCAGGACAGGGTTATAGTGCTCGATTATATTCACAAGCACAGGTGCACTCTCTATTCCCTCACTCTTGTAGTGCAATAGGACCTACGGCTTCACCTGCTTTTTGAGGCTCGGGGTCAAACACCGTCAAATTCCAGACTTCGGACTGGTACTGAGAATTAGTGTTCTTGAACGCGCTCGCTGATCATTAGTTTACAACCTGGTACAACCCGGGTTTAAATCCCGGGTTGTACCAGAACTGTCATTGAGGTTTTCTGTCCAGTAATTCTCAGTAACAGCCCGAAGTCAGGAAGTTAGCGATGTTTCACCCCCGTGCCTCGGAAAGCACGATCTCTCTCCAATCATGTTGAATTGCGGTCCAATCGGAGTATAAGAGTGGAGGAATGGAGAGTGCACCTGTGACATACGCTCGAGCTCTATAATCCCGTCCTGTTCAGATAGCTTATCTCCGTTGAGATTGGCCGCGTGAACGGAATTTATTCTGGAGGACATTCTTACTATAGTAATATTGTAAATATTGGGTTTGCAACTGTAGGTGTAAAGTTTTGCGAGTTGATCTGGACAGTCAAAGACAATGGTATAATCATAGCGTAACCAGACCCTACTTGCCTTTGTTGTTTACTTGAACTTCTTCTACATCCAGTTACAGATTTTAGTAGCTTTCCTCCAACCACGACAGGTTACATCACTCTTCAACTAATCTGAAGATTTTAGTTTCATCACATTTTTCTGGCTTCATCGACAATACTGTTCAGGCTTCACTACTCTGGAACTGACTGCCTCGTTGGTCTAGTGGTTGTAGTAGTGCGACTGCTGATCATGAGGTTCCGGGTTCAAATCCCGGGTCGGGCCAAAAAAATCAGTTTACTGAGTTTTTACCGTCAAGAAATTCTCAGTAGCTGCCGGAGTCAAGAAAGTTGGCAGTATCTCACTCCCGTGTCTCGGAAAGCACGTAAAGCCGTTGGTCCTGCGCCTGATCTCTCTCCGATTGTGTCGGTTTACCGTCCTACCGAACTATGAGAGTGAGAGAATAGAAAGTGCACCTGTGCTTGCGCACTAGAATCCTGTCCTACGCCGGTGGCTAGTCTATGTTGAGGCTGGTCACCGTGACCGAAATTCGGTCTGGATTATATTATTACTTGAAGACATTAGGAAAGCACCCAAATATGGTACCCTTGAAAAGATTGGTTCGGAAAGATCTTTAGAAAACAACGGCATCTATATAACATCAATCAGACTACCTCATTGGTCTAGTGGTGGTAAAAGGGGTAGCTGAACATTAACTCCAGGTTTAAATCCCGGTTCGTACCAGAACTGTTGGGATCCATTGTCAAGAAATTATAAGTATCAAACCAGAGTTAGGAAGTTTTCGATGTTTCACCACCGTGCCTCGGAAAGCAGGATCTCTCTCCAGTCGTGTCTAATTACCGTATCATCGGACTTTGAGAGTGAGGGTATAGAGAGTGCACCAGTGCTTGCGCATACACTCGAGTGCTAAAGCCATGTCCTGCGCAGATGGCTTATTGTCTTAGTTGAGACTGGACGCCGAATTTGTTCTGTTGGACATTATCAATACAGTATCTGGACCCCTATTAAATTAGGATACTTTATTACTAATATTGTAATATAGGAGGGAAATATAGATCTATAAGTTAATTAAAAGAATCGGGCGTTACTTTGCGGAAATCCAGCCCTAGAGTCTACATCACCTGAAGAATGAAAGAGGGTGAAACATTTTTTATTGTAAGAGGATAGATGTAGATGTCTATGGGCCAAATATTAATGGTGACGTGTGTTAAGTGCCTCGTGTAGAGGCGAAACACGTGTCGTATTATCGTCGATGGTGTGTCTTGCCTAGAATAGTGGTGTTGGGAGTAGTGGTGCTGGAATTAGTGGTGACGGGATTAGTGCACGCAATTGAAGGAGGGCGAGAGGTGCTCTTCAAACTAGGTAAGACACATCATTTTATTTTATTCAGCGGATGGTGGCAAAGTAACTATTAATATCTTTATTACTAAGGGTAAGGATTAAACCTTAGATCTAACGCTTTGCGATGAGATTGGAGATAGTCTAGACAGTAGAGAGAGATTCTTGGGGCAATGTTAACGCTTTTACTACAAAATCCCAGAAAATATACAAAATATGACCTGCACAAAGTTCAAAAACTTTATTAAACTATGTTTGTATACCAAGGGTTATTACAATATTAATGAATTTATGGATGATAATAATCCCTGGAATTGGTGATCGCTACCAAGTTACGAGTATTTCGAATTTGTTGTGTTACATACACATGTGCGTAACATACATGATTGTAAGCTGTTACTTTTTTTAAAAGTCCCGCTGGGTTTCTTGCTGGTTCTTCCCGGGACAGAGGACTTTCAATACGTATTATTTATAATCTATATTGAATAAAAAAAGTATTTGTTTCTGTTTCAAGAGTCAATGACATTGAGACAATCATAACATAACCAGAGCTTAAAACCTCCGTCTTTTCATAAACTTTAACAACTGGTAACAGCCCACACCTGAATATGAGTCTCTTAAATTAGGGTTACTAATTTACACTCACCAGATGTCGTTAGTGAACTTAGTATGTTAACTACTTGTTACGCAAATGGTCATTCAGTGTCAATCATTAAAAATTGCTATTTAATTAGAAGTTTTTCGGATATTAGTGAGTGTATATACACAAAACAATGCCTCAGTGCTGTATTCTTTATTTTTTATAAATCTTTAATTTTATAAATTCTTCTAGTGTTAGCAATATACGTATACAATATATGTACTTGCACCCTGGGATTAAGTAAAATTAAATTGAGCATTCTGGCAAGAGCCCTAACTGGACACTGTTGTCTTAAAAAGCACATGTCCATCCTGGGACTAAGCAACTCAAGGATGTGTCGGTTCTGTTTCATAACGGAAGAAACGCTTCTACACATCCTAACCGATTGCGGACCCTTAATGCGCAAACGTAACACTCATCTGGGAAACTATGTACTCCGCCCAGATGAAGTGAAATTGATCACGCCTAAGCAACTCCTTCTATTTATTGAAGACGTAGGGCTTAGCAGTGAACTATAGCCATGCAGCGATAATAGATCTTGGTGGTGATACTGGTCTCTTTCCCTAGACCTGCATAGCTGCTCGCACATAATAAAAAAAATATACGTATTTTTATACGTGGTAGAGCCATGCTGCAGCTATATTAGTAGTATAGCTGTAGCACGAAGGGATCGGCGCGACCACGCTCTCACAGAATACCAGAGCAAAATAGTAGTTTAACGCTACTTTGTTTCGTATGGTGAGTGTAGACGTAGAGAACCGGAGACCCATTCTGCTGAAAACGACGCATTCCATCTCACGGGTGACAACGCATCTGAATTTTGATTCGTATTTGAGGACAGATGTAGATATATATGAGCACAGGAGCCACTTACCATCAGGTGGACTATGCGCTCGTTTGTCACCCTATCCTATAAATGAAAAGTTTGATTTACACATTTAAAATCTTATGAATATTTAATGTAACTTAATATGTTATAGAAGTATATTATACAGCCATGCCGGAAGAAATATTACTTACACTTTTCTAATAAATTAACTGAATACTGCTATGAAATCTATCAAACATTTCATTCGTGAGTTACGCCGCCCTGGTGGCAAAAAAACATTGAGTCATTAATGGGAGGGTTTGCAATGATCATCACGCTCGACAGTCAGACTGCTTTCCGTCACCGGTCTTGTTATTACATCTTGTATATACGAGATGGTTACCACCATCACCAGCAAGTAAAAGTAAATGTTATGACATATCGACGTAATTATCGAGTACGTTCGTGATGATGCTGTCAAATACTTGACTATTTATAATTAAGGTTATTTTTTATAGGTAATTAAGCTTGTGCAAATTAGTAAGATCACGAATTTAATTCAAAGTAAAAAAGTTCAGTTGGTAGGTATTTTATTTGATTGTTTTTTAACTTCCCAGTGGGAAGTTATTGCAATGAGTCCGATATTGCAAATTGGAAATTTTAACATAATATCTCCATGTTTCAAGGTCATTAGAGTCGAATAGTATGGTTTCTAAGAGGATGTTCGTGTGTGCGCATGTACGTATGTATGTATGCATGTATGTATGTATGTATGTATGTTCGAATTCAATTTTCGCCTCGTGTATCTCGAGAACAAAGAGTGATATTAACATGGGATTAGTTTCATTTAACGCATAATTATGTAACTTAGACCTCATTAAATTTTGAGCAATATCGGCCAAGTCGTTTTTTGTGCCGAATTAAAAATTGTATAAAATATTAAAACATATGATATTCTTTTATTTTTTCCACTGAGAAGTTAGTCGTCTGAACCTTTCGGGTCGCACCTAGACCGCTTTTAAAAAAAAAACATCTAACACATTCACTATTATGCCGCAGATTCTTGTAAGAGGTTACCCTGGAACATGCCAGAAAGATATGCCTTTTAATAGATAGTGGAATAATCATATCGTTAACACCAGATATTTAAGAAAAAAACATAGACCAGCGACTGCAAGAGATGAAGACCAGCGTCTAAAGTACGTACACGTCTGGTACAACGATCGTCAATTATACCGTCTATACCAAAATATAGCTACTTATATTTTTAATTAATATTAGGGGAATAAACACTTACCGTTTGAAGCACTGCTTATTACCACATGCGTTGTTACCTTTTAGGACTGAGATAGAAGGACTTACAGCTGGCTTAGACCTCGCTCTTTAAATTGTAGGTATACAGTAATGCACGGCTGCCTGTTGATAGGTAAGGGCAACCTCTCCAGACTCCAGGCTAAACGGATTCTTACTGTCCTTTAATCACCTGTTACCTATAATTTTAGTATATATTGTATGTCATCATAACATATATTGAAGACATTTAATTTTAATTGTTGCAGATTACTTAAAACGAAAATAACGAAGCAGACATGAAGGTAAGCAAAGTCATGACGTAGCCGACGTCTGCTTTTTGTTAAGCTTTTTTATTTTTAATAGTACATTCTAAAATTGGTTTACAGATTATAGCAACATTTGTGTTATTCTTCGTTTCAACTTTGGCGGAACCGCCGATAGATAACCGGTGAGACAACCCTGTGTTTTATTTTTATTTTTTATCATAGCGACAAAAGAACTTACTTTACACTTAAAGTTTTTTGGAAATTGTCCTGTTTTGTGGAAATTTCCAGCTGTTTTGTATAACTGTCGAGTTGCTGTCTAAATCGCGAACCAAATAGATCAACAGTCTATAGTCCGAATGTTGCTTTGCATTTACGAATTCAGCTGCTCGACGTCACAGTTGACGCAGTGTGTCCGGAATGATTTACTTACTTTACTTTTAGTTTATACGTGGTAGAGCCATGTTGCAGCTATAAAGTTGTAGCAGGAGTGAGTATACTCGACTGGGAAAACCCACGAGCTTACAGAATACCAGCATAAAAAAGCAGCTTAATGCTGTCATGTGTTAAGAGAACCGGGATCCTTTTTACTAGAAACCAGGCTAAACTAGTCATCCTCAGGGATGACATCGTAACTGAATTTTGATTCTTAATCAAGGATATATGAAATGTGGGCTCGTTTGTCAACCATATTCTACAAAAAGTGAATTTGTAGTTCACTACTACTCATTTTAACCTATAATTATTTCTTTTAGGTATCTGCCACCACAACAAGGCTTCAGAGGCGCGGCTGCAGCCCCTTCACAAACTTATGGTGCCCCAGATTCAGGGTTCGGAGGTCAACGGCAAACAGCTGCATTAATCAGGTAGATTTTTTATATAATACTATAAACGCATCTGCATTTTATTTTAATGGAAGATAGATGTGAGTTTGGTTTTTTTATAATAAGGGTAACAAACGAGCACACAGTCCAATTGTGGTAAGTGGCTGCTGTGACCCTTAAACATTTATCCTCGGTCCTCGATATCCTCGATAACGAATCAAAATGCTGATACGTTGTCACACATGAGGACTAAGATGTAATGCCTCACTTCCAGTCAAATGTGTCGCCAGTTCTCTACATTCAACATACGAAACATAGCATTATTGCGCTGCTATTTCCGTTGGTATTCTGTGAGAGCTTACCTGGTCGAGCTGAACCATTTGTGATGCAACCATAATAGATGCAGCATGCCTCTACTATTTAAATATCGTTTTACTTATATTTTTTGCAGAAGCCGTCCATCTTCCACATACGGATCACCGTCGAGTCAACGGTCCAACGTTCGACGCCCGTCTACCCAATACAGCGCACCGTCATCCCAATACAATACACCGTCTCAATTGTACGGCGCCCCAGCATCTTCCCAAATGGGGAGGGGCAATGGCTTCAGCGGGTTCGGAGTTCAAAGCCCCGCAACACAGTACGGACTGCCTTCTAATGCACCTTCTCAACAGTATGGTGTACCTGACGTTAATAGTAAGTTCAGCATTTCTTACTTTTGTTTTTAATTTACGAGCAATGGCGGCAACGAAGGATCATTGACTTCATTTCATCCCATAGATTTTTTTAATGCACAGTGACAAACGTATTTTTAAAAAAATACTAAAAAAAGGGCTCTAAATAATAGATTTTCTCACAAAAGAAGGGAACTTGAAAAAAAAAGGAAAAAAAGTCGGACCCAAGACGGGACGCGAACCACGGAACTCCGATATCACGCCCGAACAACATCCCATCTGAGCTATTACGATTGTTGGTAACCTTTTTTTATAAATCTTGCTAGAGATTTATTGCCCCCGAAACTCCCGACACTAAATTTTTGAAAATCGTTGGAGCCGTTTCCGAGATCCGATTATATATATATATATATATATAGATTAAAACTACTTACGGATTTTATCGCGTTTTTTACTTTTTATTTACTTTTACTTTTTTCCCGAGTTTCGTTAGCACCCATGGTCACGGGGGACTTAACTGGGAATTGTAAATATAAAATATACGTAGTAGCATGTTTCCGTAAATTAAGAATACAAGAATTGCTCGTTTAAAGGGATTATTTTGGGGTACTTTTTTCTCATCTGGTTGGGTTCTATAAATATATAATTGTAAATGAAAATGATAAATATACGTAAATATCAATAAAATAAAATAAAAAATACATAAATAAATAAAAGCCCAACCAGATGGAGGCCCTCGGCAGGGGAGACCAAACGGCCGAAGGTTAGGAGGAAAGGGAAAGAAACCGGCGGACGATGCGGGCGGTATCGAGGAGCACCGCCTTCTGCATTTGAATTATTATTATTATTATAGATTTAAATACTTTATCTTGTCAATGCCATCAGTGAAGGACCAGACTCCACACCAGATGGAGTGATAAGCAAATTAAATATGGAAATAGTCAATAGATGTAGGTGGCTCAGGGTCTAACTTAAGCGTTACTTATATCGTGTTTCGGATAAAGTGTTTTTCTTTTCCTTCTTTCTTGTAATGTGTGTGGTGACAGTGATGATACATAGTTAACCTAATTGTGAAACTAATTTATAATTATTCAAATTTCTAAATATTAGGCTTCGGATCAGCACAGACGAACGCATTCGAAGGCGCACAGAGTAGGCAATACCTCCCTCCTGGCAGAAGCGGTTACGCTGGAGATGATGGAAGCAATAGCGTAAGTATATCTACGTTTCTATTCAATTTTTTTTAAATATAGCGTGAAAGTAGCCCATCGAGCTATATTTCCAGCCTATCGACACTCAAGTTACTGATACAGGCTATGATGTTGAATCCTATCACAATGGAATTTTCATATACGCTAGGCGTTAGGATATAATTTATGTCATGTTTTTATAGAGTAAGGGGACAAAAGAGTGACCCTGAGTGTGACCCATAAATATCTATCTTCGATTAAGACGATCTGATGACTAAGACGGAATCCCTTAAATCCAATTAAAAGGGTCTCCGGTTCTCTACACTAAACTAAACACAACAGCATTAGTTTTCTGTGAGAGCAAGGTCCTTCCCCGGTCGAGGCGATCCATTCGCGCTAAAACCATAATATAGTTAGAGCATGGCTCTACCACGTGGAAAAAATCTGTATTTATCTTTAATTTATAGGAACCTGCAAACTACAATTTCGAGTACATGGTGAAAGATGATGCTTCAGGCAACGACTTCGGTCATCGTGAGTCCAGGCAGGGTGATAGAGCTGAAGGACTTTACTATGTTCTGTTACCCGATGGTAGAAAGCAGGTGAGATAACTGTACATTGTAACTAATATATTAATTCATTATTGGTTAGTGGCAGTGGTTTAATAAAAACCATCGTTACTGCACCTATGTTGGCATAACTATAATGGCTCAACGGTAAATGCTCTAACGCTACTCAATTTTAAGATTTTAAGTCTCGTGTTGTCACAGTAGGCATGCCGATCTGAGATCGATCAATCGAAGAATCGATTTCTTGTGCCAAAAAGATCGATTTTTTATCGATATATATAGTACTGAATCGATATTTCATGCTAGAAAATCGAGATCAAAACTTTTTCTGTTTTCATAAGAACTATAAAATTATTTAGAACTATTAAAATTAGTAAAATATCCCCCCTATGAGGCAATCGATGGGGAAGGCCTATGTTTAGCAGTTGATTTTTAATATGATGTAAGGGTAATAAATAACTAATCGTCATAAACGCCATTAGGAACATCTAGACTTCCTGGATCAGTATGATGTGAGCGGAGAGTAACGCCAGCCAAACTGGTTACAGCAGATAATATTCCCAAATTAAAGAAACCGTGTCCAGAAGTGAATTTATATTTGCCTGCAGAGTAATAACAAATGGAACTAGTGAAGCCCTGATAAAAGATGGCAGGAATCGATAGATGCAAATGGCTCAGAAGTGTGCTTTATAGTTATCTGCAGGGCGGACCCATATGTACAAGTGTGGATTTGTTATGATCTGTGATGAATGATGATGATGATGATATTGTTGAAAAATCAACGCATCCTTTTCCTGTTTAACTAATTTCATACTCAATGCATCGTCAAAAAACATAAAGAAATAAAACCCGTTTAAATGTTTCGAATACTATTATTAATAATTGATATATTTTCCAGACGGTGGAGTATGAAGCCGATCAAGATGGGTACAAACCGAGAATTTCGTATGAAGATACGGGATTAAGAACTGGAGGCTACGCTGGAAACAACCAAGGTGGTTATTCCAGCGGATATCCGGGTCAAGAAGGACCATATTAAGCCCTTGAGAAACTTTAACCTTTATGTTAAATCATTGTTATTTTCATTCGATGAGAAATTATTGTAATTTCAAAATTGTTTTTAAAATTAGTTATACGGAAATACAATGCAAGTTAGGAAGGACCATATTATGCCCTCAATTCTGAAAATTTATCATAAATCATTATTGTTATTTGACAGTAATCGTAAACAATAATTTTTTTATAAAATTGGTGATTATAAATTGTAAGTATTAACAAATATATTAATTAATACCTACGTAAGACAATGACCAATGCAGTGTAAAAGGACACGAGTTTTGTAAATAGAGGCTATTCAGTACAAATAATTATAGTGATAACCATATAAAATGCTTATTTTTATATATAGAATTCTATATTATACGCGATTTATTTAATATAATTTGTGACAGACCATACAGGAAAGTTCAGAAGCCTAAGAAAATATTTAAGTAGGAAACTTTCAAATATAAGTAATACAAAAATAAATGATAATGAAAAACATCTACATTTATAATAGTTAAAATTAAAACAAATATTATGTATTTACTATTTTAATTCTATTGAAATCTCGATTGATCTATTCTCGATCAATCAACTCTAAATTATATCACTACTAGAAAGAAGTTCGAACGCTTTTCTGTCACAAGTTACAAAATTATTATTTGTTTTGAAAGAATATTTTCATGGATTTAAATGGCCAGTTTAATAATAAGTATTTTTAATAATTTTTCGAGCATCTGCCTTAAATGATTTCCTTTAAGCTCTAAACACTTATTTACAATCACAATTGTATAAAAATAAGTACCTGAAATATAGATTGGTATACTCAAAATTTGTATGTATAAAAAAATTAATTATGTTTGTGGGCGACATTGGTCAACATTAGATAAGCCGCATGCTCGTTTGCCATCTATCTTCTAAAAAAAAAGGAATACTCATGTTATAAATTATCAATATATGACTTTTATATTATGTATCAATTTTCATTTGTTACGCTGTTCAACCCTTTCCATCAGATGGACCTGTTAGGCCATTTTTAACTTCAATTTTATGAAAAAGAAAACATCATGTACAGCAACTTACTCTTAATTACTTAAATGTTTTAAATGAAACACAATTCATTCCATACACATTTTAATAACACAAATAGACATAAATAGAACAAAAAAGAACATAAATAATCAGTACGGGTAACATTAAAGCAAACTTTTACTACACATGCAATGGTACTAAATTGTTTGGAGTAATTCACGGTAACCAAAACCACACATGCGCACACATTATATTGAATATTATATTTTAATGTGATACAACTTAAGAGATTCAATAAACTTAACATTCGCAGCATTTTTATGATAATATCAGTTAAATATCAAATAAAATGATCTTACACCATTTCAGATCTCAAAACATCTGCATCCCTAATCTTAAGAGTTCAGATGTAGGTGTCTATGGGCAGCATCGACTTGCCATTTATTACAAAAACTTTAAATTCGGAGTCGTCGTGGCGATATAATAAATTTAAAATAATTCTTTAAAGCTGCAGAAAAAAGTCTTTTCAAATCGCATAAACAAACTGTTGGAAATATGTGTGTACCTGTCAAATAACGTCATTTTTTTTTAATTTATCTCGAAGTTTATTGACCGCTATTTGACAGACAACAACAATAATGCTAATTTAACAACACAGCGCCCTAAAATCCTACGTCCTCTTTGCAAATTCTAATAATTTTGTATCACCTATTTGATATGAAATACTAATTGTATAGATTAAAAATTAAACGGTAATTTTTTATGAAATAATATTATATGCTTCTCAAAAACTGTTGGCAACCCCATCAACACATTATCGATGATAAATTATTTTAGCTGCCATAGTAACTTAAATATTATCCTATATTCAGATGCATTGACTGGATCATAAGCGAATACTGTGTACCAACAGGTTCTTAAATATTTTAGAATTTAGAAAGATTTTTGGGCGAAGCTAATTTTCATCTTTAGGAAATAAATAACCAATCTACTTTATACCATTTAACGTGAATTCTAACTACTCACTAATAGTGTATTCGTTTATAATCGGTCTTCATTGACTTTAAAGTAACGAACTTATTCATAAAAACCCTTAAATATAGACTTAGGTAGGAAACGTACATCGACAATAATAACTGATACAAATTAAACTTATAATGCACAATAATTAGGCAAAAAAACTTCAAAATATTATTTGATGTGTGACGTAGTTTTAAAAAAGCCAAATCAAGTGGAATTTCTTGCTGGTTCTACCTAGGACAGAGGCTGACACTTGGGCCTAACTTTAGGCCAGGATAGCTCCAGGATAGATCAGGGAATATTAAATAAAATAATATTCTTTTTTATTCTGTTTCATTCCATTCCTTATTTATTCCTTCATTATTCATTTTAAAACTCTGTCAACGGCATTCATCAAACGAGACATTAAAAACGCACAAGACACAATTGTGTTTATTACAACATGGTATTTGCTATCGCGAGACTGTCCTGTAGAATCCCAGCAAAACCTCTATTCTTCCTCTTCATTTCTTTTTTTAATATAATATCAATGTGGACAAGGACCATCACCAACTTCAAACAGAATTCCATGGATGTAGTACCCTGAGCACCAAGATGCAATTTCTCATAGGTAACTAAATCGTTCCTCAGTAAAAAGTTATCTTTTAACTATTTTTTTATAATTACACAACAAATCCTTAACTTATTATTTGTGATAAACACTTTCATATTACTTTGCCTGCTTGTTAATGTTAACGTTCTCAGAGTGGAAGACATGCAGCTGTGACACAGTTAATTAGTATGGCTGCCATCTATGACCTCTCAGTGAAACTATATAATTGATTATCAAAATGACTTTTTTTGTGTATGTCAAGTTTTTGATGTTATAAAGGAGTGAATAAAAAGTTATGATTAATTAAAACAGCAATTTCAGGTCTAATATAAATTTCAAATTTTATGAATAAGATCGTTTTACATCGAGGTCTTTATTTTTTTTCTTTAGATAATTATTTAGAGATTTAAAAACAAAGATATGCAACTATTAAATTATAAATAATATATAATTTAACACATAATTTAAGAAAAGTTTATATATTTACTAGACAGTTTGATAATAAATACTAATATACAAAAATGAAAGCTTCTTTCTAAGTCTTTACTGTTACTGGCAATACTACAAGTAAAAATTTATTTTAAAGCATTCCCCTTTTTTAGGAATTTAAGCCCGACCAGATAGGGAAATACCGCTACCATTAATTTGGGAATATTTAAGAAACTACTTCTACTTCTTTTTCCAGTACAGTCTGTTCTCTAAGATAATGTCGGTACACGTGAATGGGCACTTATGATTTTGCTTATATTTTTATTATTTTTTATTGTGTTTGTTAAATAAACGTTTTTACTAAGGTTTTTACGTTGTTACTAAGAATAAAATATAATACTATTTCACCTTACTGTTATTGTAATAAAATATGAATATAAAATAATAAACACAAGTTAGGAAGCAAAGTCCATTTCACTACGTCGCTTCGTATTAAAATGCCAAATTCTCCTGCGGTTGTACGCCGCGACCTTTGACGTCGCGGCGCCACCTTTGACAAGAAGCGGCACAAGTAAAGATGGAAGTGGCCTTGGTGGCATAAAAAGGTGTGCAAATCCCCATACTTCTTGACGTGACTATACTATTTATTGCACTATAAAGACAAGAGGCTCATTGTAGGTATTTATTTATCTGGCCAGGGTATAACGACATAGTCACGTAAAGGGTATCCAACTCTATAAAAGAGCTATTTTTGGGATTTCTACTTGAGATTCAATATTCAATGACGATGGCTGCCTTCGATTTTATAATAATATACTGTGACTTTGTCTGATACTGTTTTACTACGTGAAATAAAGACTAATCATTACTTGGGCGTTTTGGTTGTATCCTTTGGCATTTCAATTGTACATTATATAGTTTTATATTATATTTTTTAGTAAATTTTACTAACATATGACATTTTTATCAAAAGATCTTACACATATAATAAAACTAATAACTATTCTTAGGTATCATACAATAATTACACTTTTGTGCTATTACAAAAAAATATAAATTTATATTTGCAATGAAAATATAAAAAAATGTCCCTAATTCAGGAATCACTCGTTCTACACAAGTGAAAGTGATCTAAGTTTAAGAATCTGATGTAACCACATTTTACTGTATTACCTTTTAGAATATGGGTAACTAACGAGCACACAATCCACCTGATGGTAAGTGAATGGTGAGGCCCAAAAACATCTACATCTATCTTGAATCAAAATGCAGATGCGTAGTCACCACTGAGGACGAAGCTGGAATGCCTCGTTCCAGTAAAAAGGGTCTCCGGATCTCTGCACTCACCCTGCTATTTCAAGCTGTTATTCTGTAAGAGTGTGGTCCTTCCCCTGGTCGGCATTTACTAGATTATATAGATTATATAGAATATAAAGATTTTTTCGTAAATTAGTGGTGAAGAAGCAAACGCAGAGAATGATTTAATATACTCGTGATATGTCTATTGGTGCCAACATATCAGAATACATCATATCAGCGTTTACTCTCTTATAATTATTTATTATAATTATTACTTATATTATTCATTTTAATATTTAATACATCAAAATGAATAATACCGCTTAAAATAAAAAAGCATCCACTATTACAGCCTATAAAAGTCCTCAGCTGAACGTAGGCCTCCCCCATAGATTGCCTTAAAAGAGGGATACCTGCCATAGCTGCCACACTCGAAAGGCAGGTCCGCTACGGCAGTTTTTTTTTTAATTTTTTAGTTGTTAAACAGAAACAGAAACTTTTTCATTCAATATTGATTATAAATAATACTTATTGAAGTCAGTTTTTTGTTTTAATTTACCACTGGTTTCAAAAAAAACTCTATCCTGGAGAACCCAGCGGGGCATTTTTTTGAAAATGGAGATACA